AAAAACTGTGACCCAAAGTCTCGCTCTTCATCTGCCTTATTATGGAGTCCAGTGTTTTTTCTATCAACATCACATTTAAAAAAAACAAAACAATGTTTTTTAAAAATGCTTCTGCTTTTCAAGGACTGTCGCCGAGTTCTTGGAACGAGATGAAAACGAAATTATCAGAATTTTCCAAACTGCCAAATATTTATTCAAGGTTTAGTCGTGTTTAGGCAACATTTTTATTTTCATTTATCGGTTGTGCCCATCGCTTCAAGGGAGATCGTTTGGAGAAATTGAAAAGCGGGCACACAGACTTCTTATTTAAATGTAATATGTCAAATAATTACTCAGTTTTTTTCTTTTTTGTTAAAATACTAACCTCTGAAGAAGGAAGCATCCAAAACATAATGTTTTTTTTTTATCCATTAGTTTTGGTTTAAAGCTGGGCTAATTAACTGGTGGCCCACGGGCCACATCCGGTCTGTAAGTGACTAAAGTTTGGCCCACCAATTGGTTCAACCATGTCATACTGTTTASCTGTTTGGTCTCTTACAACAAATGAAATCTTAGAACCCATAGTTCGGCTCTACAACAGGCCCTACAAAATTCATAAAAAACTTCCTGGTTGGACTCATCACTGTACAGTTCTTTCAACTGATATTACCAACTTTTAAAAACTGTTACGGCCAGAGGTCTTTCTTCTATGTTTATACTAAAGCATGGAATGACATTCCTCAAAACATAAAGTCCATTTCAAAACTACAGCCCTTTAAGAAGAATCTTGTCTGCCATCTGCTGGACACTTTTTGTTGTGCTCATATTTAGACGTCCTATTTTGCAAATGCTGCCTTTTTGAAGTTTGGTATGCTTGTTTGTCTTTGTGTCTATGGTGTATAATGATGTGATTGTGATGCTGTAATTCTGAGTGTTTTATGTGCTGCAGAACAGGAACCTGCTGTAAAACTGCAATTATGCTGAGTCAGGCTCGATTTTTGATAATCTTTTCCTGTTAAATAAATAAATCAAATCAAATCAATCATCTCTTAAGCCCAAACTCCCAGTTTTCTACTCAGTTATTTTAGTTAGACAGTATCTACATTTACATGGACATACATTAAGTAATTGGATTGAACGGCCATTCAAAATAAAAATGTATCATGTAAACACCTCATTCAGATTATTCTGATCTGATTCAGCTCAATACGAAATAATTTTTCATCGAAATGAGAGAGGTGGTTTATTTCTAATTCTAATTCTAAAATCCAGGAGTCCAGACTTGGACTGGTGAAAATCTAATAATTCTCATTTCAGCAGTCTTCTGCCATAAATGAAATGATTAATGTTGGGGCGACTGTCGGGGTCTGCAACATCAGATTACAGTGGAAGTGGGATGAAGTTATCAGTACGTKTGAACCAACACAGAGACGTTCAGTTCATTTCAGAACTAACTCTGAAGAGCATTTTAATTATCAAATACATGCACAACATCACGCTGCTGTCGACAAGCAGAGGCTCCCATCAATTAATGGATTCTGCTTGTTACCGAGGAACTGAATAATGAGGTTGCTGTGGCAACTTCCGTGTTGTGAAGTGGCTGTAATCCCTCTCCCCTCTGGGTCGAGGTGCCTCCAGTCCGGCTGAATAGTTTCATAAATAAACTGAAGGAGAAGTCACTGAAACTAAAGAAACTTCTTCTGTTTCTTTTTTTTTTCTAATGAATATTCTCATCACTGCAGAATAAAGTTGATAAAAAGGAAGTTGTGTGAATTGTTTCACATACATTAACGTATTGAAGACGACTGGCTGTGATGTAAGGAGTTTGAGCAGGAGAGGTGTGGACTTTTGCAGCTGATGCGATGCGTCAACCAATCAGAGACTCCACTGTGTGACGTGGTGACAGGTTTTCCAACGGGACAGTTTCTGAATGATGTCCACTAACCTGAAACAGATGGACAGGAGCTCTTTAGCTCAAATCGAGGGCCTGCAGTCGTGTCCTGACAGATATCAGCACCGATGCAAGTCAGCGGCTCATCAACCTGGACTCGGGACAAAAATAGTTCTGAAAGCGAGCCTCATCAGCTCGCAGCTCCTGGAGTGGTGAAACTCACCAAACTCAGAACATCACTGAATTATCTGGTGAATTAATTATSAATTAATTATCCAGTGTTGTATAAAGTACCTCAAAGTGTTACTTGAGTAAAAGTACAAGTGTCTTACCCTAAAATTACTTTGGTAAAAGTTCAAGTCTCCTCTAAGAAGACTACTTGAGTAAAAGTCTTAAAGTATCTAATATATTTTATACTTGAGTATCAAAAGTAAATTTCTGAAATAAAATGTGCTTAAGTATTAAAAGTAAAAATACTGAGTAAAAATGAGTGGCTAGACTTTCCAAAATAACATTTATTGGCTCTCAACGTGCTACACAAGCGCTTCAGTGCAATTTTGACTTGTGTCAGACCTCAAAGTGCACAAGTGTCCAACTTGAAGCACTGGATGCAYTTTTYACACTGAAATCATGTTCAGTGTGGACGCAGCATGAGTGTCCAGCTTCTGAATGTGATGCATTCATATTCAGATTTCATATGAGGAAGCAGAATTTTTTTAAATGACATATTTAAAAAAAATGGCCAAAATAAAACACGTTCTTTTAAGCAAGTATTTTAACCTATAAAAATACTATCACTAAAAAAAACTCCAAAATGGCTTCATATATGGTTTATATCTTCATTTTTTCTTTGTAATCCTCACTAGTTGATTCCTAGTTCTAACCAGGACTTGCAATATGTTCAGACTAAGAAATCAGTGAGTTTAATACAAGATGAGCAACAATTAGCTGTTTTTAATCATAATCTGTCTTTTTTTTATACTGATGAGATGTTTATGCTTCATTATAAATAGATTTAAGGATAATATTTCCTCTAAGATGATAAACATTATAAACCAAGTGAAAGATTTGAACCCGTTTGAATGAGATTCTGTTCTTTCAGAAACAGCTGAGGTTTACAGAAGATACTTTTTTTTCTGAACTGTGACATAAAATCAAAAAAAGTATATTTTAATGTGTCTTGTAACTGCTTGTTCATTTCATATACATGGTCCACTTATTTAAATGATCAGTTTTTGTAGAATAGATACATGTTTTCTATACTGACTGTAGATGAATTAAAATTTGTCCTTATTTCGCAGGAGTGCGTCTCATTAAATAAAACCTGTCACAATGGCAGTGTTTTTATTGCCGTTGTTTTTGCTCTACCCACTGAGCAACAATGAACAGCTTCCATAATGATTTTGCAGAGAAACACATTCCTGTCTGTGGCTTCTGTGGTTGGGAGGAAGCGGAGTGATGGCATGGCCTTTAATGACACAGTTTTGTTGTTTGGAGCCCGCCGAGGTGCCTGAAATGAAAACATAAAAAATAAGCAGGATATAAATGAACATATGCATGAAGTAAAAAATAAATAAATACATCCTGGATCAATGTTGTCTGGCTGCCTTGTTGCTCTGTCCTACCTTCAGCTTGTCACAAAAAAGAGGAGGAAATCATAGAAAAGCTAAACAATGAGGTGCATCCAGTGTGTGTTTGTGCAGAAGTGCACCTGTGTGTGTGAGCGTGCATCCGTCTGCATCTCTTATAGATATTCAAATGGCTTCATGCAAAAACTGGATGGAGAGGCTGCTGAAGTGTTGGCTCTTCTTTTTCTCTCCTCAACCAAAAGGTCTTTGATATGATAATGATGTATCGCCACAGGGGCAGCAAAGGTCAGAGACATGCAGAGATTTACCCCAGGTGTCAGCATCTGTGCTCTACGTGGAAACAGGAGACACTCTGCTCACCATTAACAGATGCAATATGTTTTTATCTGCACTACAAGGACACTATTCACTGTTAATTCAAATACATTCGAATCTCATCAATTTCAATGCAAATCTTAATGTGTTTATAGTAGTTTTAAACAAGCAATGAAAACATGAACCTCTCACTAGGCCTGTTGTGATAAATCAATTAATCACAATAATTAAAGATTCATCATGTTTTTCTCTTTTCTACTCCTCAGCGTAGGGAGGAGTGAACTCTGACATCAAGTATTTTCCAGGTTTGTGCAAACTGTGCTGAAACTTGGGTTTACTAAGAGTTGTTTTTTTTGCACTACATAAATTTTGTAAATATTATAAGCAACATTCTGGTGATCGCACTTATAGGTTAAAATGGCCTGCAAATGATAAAATTTATCACAATAATTTTGGAGACAATTTATCGTTCAGAAAAATTGTGACAAGCCATACCCCCGTCTATTGACACTCGAGAGTGTCTTGTAAAATTTGATTGCCATAGCATTATCCAGGCATTTTCCAGATTCATGGTCTCCAACCTTCATTTTAAACTAATACACTGAGCCCTTTATGGTCTCCAAATGATATTATCGTTTATCGCAATAATTTTGGAAACAATTTATCGTCCAGAAAAATTGATCATGAAAGGCCTACCCCCTGTCTATCGGCACTCTGGAGTCTCTTGTGAAACTGGATTGCCATAGTAGTATCCAAGTATTTTCCAGGTTCATGGTCCCTTAACCTATTGTAAGGGCTCAATACATTAGTTTAAAATGGTCTCCAAATGATATCGTTTATCACAATAATTTTGGAGACAATTTATCGCCCAACAGAATCTATCATGATAGGTCTACTCTCGTCTTTCAACACTAGAGTTTCTTGTAAATTTTGATTGCCATAGCAGTATCCAGTTATTTTACAAAATACCAAAACAGCAGCAGTCATGCAGTAGTAACTTAAGTGATACCATTAGCAATAAAAACAACGTTTAAAGCGTTGAGCACAACACAGTAAATGAATATCTAAAGTCTGTATCCCAGTGAGAAAGGTTTGCTATAGTACCTCGGAGTTAAAGCTCAGGAGTTGAGTAAATTTGTATCCTGTTATGTTGTGAAGAAAAGTGACAAATTAGATCATCAGACCTGGAACTTTTTTCTGATTTTTATTATGAAAACAGTCATGTTTGTTTTGCTCTCGCAGCCTCTTTGTATGCAGCCGTGCCGGCCTGATACCTGTTCTGGATTCTCAGCATGCGCAGCACACGTTGTTGTGACTGTGAGCTGTACATACTTCAGCAGACAGTTTGCTGCTTTCAGGCGCTGGTGGACACCCGCTGGTCTTTCTGGCAAACAGCATGGCACAACAGCATGCAACGTTCACGCCCCCACTCTCCTTTTTTGCCAGGTGCTAAAAAGGCTGTTAGATACAGTTGAGGTCATCTGTTGGAAAAAAAAAATCCAGGAAATTAAAGGGGCAGAATATCAATTCCCAACATGGCAGATTATTATCATTATTTTATTTTTACCAGACGAATTGTTCTCCTGTGAGGCCGAGCTCAAGCCAGCAGAGTGTGCAGTGACAGCAGCATCAGTGGCATTATGAGCCTGTAGACTCAGCCTAATGTTCTGAAAACCAAACTGCAATTTTAGCTGGACGCTTGAAATTACCACTGTCAGTAAACACATCATTGAGCAAATGGTCTGATAGTTTCAAACTGGATCTCAGTCCAATCCGCTGCTGGAATCTCAGTAGTTATGTCGAGTTTATCAATAATAATGTAACACATTTTAAATGCAGTGTAACAAAGTGCTTCACAAATGAGACTCAATCCATATAAGGATGTATAAATTACAGCCACATCATTATGACCACCCAACTAATACTTCAGAATCTTGTATCCAGTGGGATATGGTCTCTCTGGGTAGGACTTCTCACGCATACGATCAGATCTAATCAAATCTAATCCAATCGGGGATGTTTTGGTCTTAAATATTGGATTTTATACATGGATCAAACCACTGGGATGTACTTTTCTTTACACTCCTATGCTTTGAAAAGTGTTTGTGTTCCAGATTGAGGTGAACAAATGGTGTCATTAAATGAGCATAGCTGTTAAACTTTGGTCTGGGTGTTAGCGTCCCCATATGCTCTTCTCATGACAGTGAATCAATCAGTGATTTAATGAACTGTATTGGAGTTGCTGGTTGGTGTAATGTTATAGTAACCTTGTTGACTTTGGTAAACCAAAACCGGTTAACCAGTGAGTTTTACAATGAGTTAGTTGTGTAGTAGATTATTGATGTGGTTTGTGTATGAAGTTTAGTTGTGGATGTTTCAAAATAAAGGAGAAGGGGGTCTCTGCAGTCACCAGTAGGAGTTTCTTACTTTGTGGGAGGAACTGACCCAAGACATGATTGGTCAGATTAACGGTGGTGTTTGATGAAGCTGGGGGTGTAGCAGGGAGTAGCTCGGTCAAATTGGGCAGGAAGCACCTATATTTATTAAATATAGAGAATTTTAGTCATAACTTGAAACAGGAAGGTGCTAGTTGCACGAAATTTGAACGTCATACACCAAGGGCCAACTCCGCCCACACCAAAACCTCTGCCAATCACAGGTAGGGCCAACTCTGTCCACAGGACATGTACTGCAGAGACCCCCTACTAGAAAATAAAGTGTGCAATCTAGAGATTGAGTAAAGTTCACAATAAAATTTAGTTTAAATCCTTTAGTTTTTCATTATTAAAAATAGTCCTGTCCAGATCAGTAAGTTTATTTCTGTAATTTATTTATACTTTCTGTTCCATCTGTCAGTACTTGTAGCTTTCTGAAGCTCTTTCAACATTTTCTTCAGACATTGTTTATTTCACTCATTTTCAGCCCAGTCTGTCTTATTCCAGACTGAAAGCATTCTGTGCAGTGAGTGGTGGACAAGTGGAGCACAAAAGACCTTAAAAACTATATTTAGCAGATAATAAAACTTGACAGATGCCAAGTTTTCAGCTGAGGGCTCTTTGGGAATCACCTTGTTGGTGCTAAAATACTTTGTCAAACTCAACTCTGGCATTTTTTTTTGTTGAAATAAACTATAACAGATTGATAGAAAAAGAGATTTTAGATGTAAACAAATTAACATCTAGGATTTTACTCTGTTAAACTTGGTTCTGAAAACTTCAATGCTGCTTGTAGGATTAACATTAACATTTAGAGTGAAAAAGCCCAAACACAACACATACTTGGRGCAAATGATGCAGCTAGTTGTGTATTAATGCTTGGTTTTTCCWGTGAACATCTGCCTACCTTCCACCAGCGACATCACCTCACACTGCGTGGCATCTGCTGCTGAAGGTTTCTGTTAGCTGGAAGGCTGCTGGCTCATCTGCACAGCTTACCCGGTTCTGACAGCCGGACTTCATGGAGACACAGGCCACTGTGCTCCACAGGTGGGAACAGAGAGGTTTGTCAGGGCTCGGGGGCTACGTCGTAATCACCCCCACCCACCACAGCAAGCCTTAGAATATCTCTCCCTCCATGGGYGRTAGCAGAAAGCATCAGTCTTGGCCGCAGCTCCGGCTGTCCTGCTGCTGACAGAGCCGATGTGTGGTGCTGAAGTGATCTGTTTATACAGCTGTTGTGTGTGTGTGTGTGTGTGTGTGTGTGTGTGTGTGTGTG